GCTCAGATCGATCAGTTCATCTCTTCGGTCCACAGTCAGATGAAGGGTGTGTTGGGGAAGTAAGTGAAACTCGTCTCTCGTGTCTGAACATTAACCGGTAGCTGACAGGACTAGAATACATCAGAAATAAATGAGAATGGACTGGTGTCTGACGCATTAACAAATACCAACAAATATGTGTTTTTCCATGATACGGTGATTATTTGACATGCATAAAGAGCAGCAGGAGATGAGGAGTGACACATGATCACATGATGTGCCAGAGAACCACTGACGGATAGAGCACACACACCAACACACACACTTCACTGAAATAATGACCAGATTAACCAACACTGAATCCTGGAATAATGGCACAGTTCAGGGGTTTCCAAGCGATCCCCATGATTATAACAATATTTACCATACTTTCCAGAAGTCGCACCTGGGCAAACTAGCGTTGTTACAAACAACATTTATTTTAAATGCCAAGACTATAAAAAACATTTAAGGCAAAACTGAAACTGCTCGCGCACCTCTCATTCGCCATGAGTCGCTGTGTCATATTATTATTTATTATGTAAAGAAGGCTTTGTACTCTCGTGTCCCAATATCCACATAATATCAGTGTGTCTGTGTTCCCTCAGGATTCAAGCCAAGGTTCCCGGAGCCAAGAAGAAGCCGGAGTGACAGATCTGCTCCACACACACACACACACACACACACACACACACACACCTCTCTGTCTGTCTTCACCTCTGTTTGATCACATGACTGCGACATCATCGAGTGGCTCTGATGTGAATAAATGAAACGTTGAGCTCCTCCAGAAGCGAGTGTGTCTGCGGAACATGCTTTCTTTTATAATGAGGGAAAGATGAATTGTACCAATATTGTCTTTTTGTGTTGTTTTAGTTGATATGACTGTGATTTTACTCTTCCAGTGTTGATTGGCTGGAGAGTTTCTGGGTAATCTGTGCTTGACAAGAGTAGAACTTCTCTAATGAACACGTTTACATGCAACTTCCCTGAAAAGAAGTTATTGTATTTAAATCTATTTATCTGTGGAGCGACTCCTAAAGCTGCACCCGAGAGCCGAGCGCTTGCTTGCCAGTGACGGAGGAGTGAGTCTCTGATGTTAACGAGTGCTAATAAAGCTTCTAACTGAACCCGTTTACTGCGTGGCCTTATTTCACCACGGTCCTGTGAGGACTGGACACACACATCATTACAGGTCTTCACACACTCTTCACTGCTCAGATGATCTGCGGTTTCCCTCACTGTTGTTATTTTGATCATGTCTCTGTTTCCTCCTCTGGCGCATCAGGACCATTGAACTGTTCGAGGACCGGAGTGTAATGTCCGGTTTATTAATAACATTGACATCATTCTGACAGAGTGACTTTAAAGCAAAGACAGTCTGAATTTACACTTAGAAAAAGAAAAGGCAACGATGTAAGTGTGGTGATGTCTTCACTGATAACCTGTGATGAAACTGCTGTAAATCTGTCCATCACGACCTTTGACCTCCTGACCCGAGACGTGTGTTATTATAGCATTAGCAAATCTCTATTTATACCAGCATCATTAACATTTTAAATCAGGCACAGATCACTACAGTATTTGTCTAGACAGGTATTCTATTTAAAGATCTATTTTAATGTTTATATATTTATTTTGTGGTTTTATGTTGTTGTTATTTTTGATTCGCTGCTGCTGAGTCAATAAAGTCAATAAGGGGAATAAAACAACCTAACCTGCCATGAAATGTACAGTCTTCTGCTGAGTTTATTTCGGCGTGTTCCAGCTTCACCAGGCTTGGGCCGACGATCTGACGGACTTCACGGAAAGTAGATTCATCAAACATACAATTTTGTTCGAGAAAATTAGGCCACTTAAAAGAACAACTAATGTAACAAGTAACCGTATTATATGAGATGGTGCATTCTGGGTACAGGAGGACTGCCTTTCCTTCATCTGAACGCATGATGTGTCTGCGAGAACATATTACACCAGAAAGCAACACACAATAGTTGAATAAGTCTAGCTAGACGAGCTCAATAATACTGTAACTGTGAAAGGAAATAAAAATACATTTTCTATTGTCTGATGCTGCGTTTCAGCCCCTGGCTAACACCAATGTTTTGTTGTGTGTGCTTTTATTTTGAAAGGTCAGTCTGTGTGCCGTTGTGATGTTTTATGTAGTGTGTGCTTTTATTTTGAAAGGTCAGTCTGTGTGCCGTTGTGATGTTTTATGTTGTGTGTGCTTTTATTTTGAAAGGTCAGTCTGTGTGCCGTTGTGATGTTTTATGTTGTGTGTGCTTTTATTTTGAAAGGTCAGTCAGTGTGTCGTTGTGATGTTTTATGTTGTGTGTGCTTTTATTTTGAAAGGTCAGTCAGTGTGTCGTTGTGATGTTTTATGTTGTGTGTGCTTTTATTTTGAAAGGTCAGTCAGTGTGTCGTTGTGATGTTTTATGTTGTGTGTGCTTTTATTTTGAAAGGTCAGTCAGTGTGCCGCTGTGATGTTTTATGTTGTGTGTGCTTTTATTTTGAAAGGTCAGTCAGTGTGTCGTTGTGATGTTTTATGTTGTGTGTGCTTTTATTTTGAAAGGTCAGTCTGTGTGCCGCTGTGATGTTTTATGTTGTGTGTGCTTTTATTTTGAAAGGTCAGTCTGTGTGCCGTTGTGATGTTTTATGTTGTGTGTGCTTTTATTTTGAAAGGTCAGTCTGTGTGCCGTTGTGATGTTTTATGTTGTGTGTGCTTTTATTTTGAAAGGTCAGTCAGTGTGTCGTTGTGATGTTTTATGTTGTGTGTGCTTTTATTTTGAAAGGTCAGTCAGTGTGTCGTTGTGATGTTTTATGTAGTGTGTGCTTTTATTTTGAAAGGTCAGTCTGTGTGCCGTTGTGATGTTTTATGTTGTGTGTGCTTTTATTTTGAAAGGTCAGTCAGTGTGTCGTTGTGATGTTTTATGTTGTGTGTGCTTTTATTTTGAAAGGTCAGTCAGTGTGTCGTTGTGATGTTTTATGTTGTGTGTGCTTTTATTTTGAAAGGTCAGTCAGTGTGTCGTTGTGATGTTTTATGTTGTGTGTGCTTTTATTTTGAAAGGTCAGTCAGTGTGTCGTTGTGATGTTTTATGTTGTGTGTGCTTTTATTTTGAAAGGTCAGTCAGTGTGTCGTTGTGATGTTTTATGTTGTGTGTGCTTTTATTTTGAAAGGTCAGTCAGTGTGTCGTTGTCATGTTTTATGTTGTGTGTGCTTTTATTTTGAAAGGTCAGTCAGTGTGTCGTTGTGATGTTTTATGTAGTGTGTGCTTTTATTTTGAAAGGCCAGCCAGTGTGTCGTTGTGATGTTTTATGTTGTGTGTGCTTTTATTTTGAAAGGTCAGTCTGTGTGCCGTTGTGATGTTTTATGTTGTGTGTGCTTTTATTTTGAAAGGTCAGTCAGTGTGTCGTTGTGATGTTTTATGTTGTGTGTGCTTTTATTTTGAAAGGTCAGTCAGTGTGTCGTTGTGATGTTTTATGTTGTGTGTGCTTTTATTTTGAAAGGTCAGTCTGTGTGCCGTTGTGATGTTTTATGTTGTGTGTGCTTTTATTTTGAAAGGTCAGTCAGTGTGCCGTTGTGATGTTTTATGTTGTGTGTGCTTTTATTTTGAAAGGTCAGTCAGTGTGCCGTTGTGATGTTTTATGTTGTGTGTGCTTTTATTTTGAAAGGTCAGTCAGTGTGCCGTTGTGATGTTTTATGTTGTGTGTGCTTTTATTTTGAAAGGTCAGTCAGTGTGCCGTTGTGATGTTTTATGTTGTGTGTGCTTTTATTTTGAAAGGTCAGTCAGTGTGTCGTTGTGATGTTTTATGTTGTGTGTGCTTTTATTTTGAAAGGTCAGTCTGTGTGCCGTTGTGATGTTTTATGTAGTGTGTGCTTTTATTTTGAAAGGTCAGTCAGTGTGCCGCTGTGATGTTTTATGTTGTGTGTGCTTTTATTTTGAAAGGTCAGTCTGTGTGCCGTTGTGATGTTTTATGTTGTGTGTGCTTTTATTTTGAAAGGTCAGTCAGTGTGCCGTTGTGATGTTTTATGTTGTGTGTGCTTTTATTTTGAAAGGTCAGTCAGTGTGCCGTTGTGATGTTTTATGTTGTGTGTGCTTTTATTTTGAAAGGTCAGTCTGTGTGCCGTTGTGATGTTTTATGTTGTGTGTGCTTTTATTTTGAAAGGTCAGTCTGTGCGCCGCTGTGATGTATATGTTGTGTGTGCTTTTATTTTGAAAGGTCAGTCAGTGTGCCGTTGTGATGTTTTATGTTGTGTGTGCTTTTATTTTGAAAGGTCAGTCAGTGTGTCGTTGTGATGTTTTATGTTGTGTGTGCTTTTATTTTGAAAGGTCAGTCTGTGCGCCGCTGTGATGTTTTATGTTGTGTGTGCTTTTATTTTGAAAGCTCAGTCTGTGTGCCGCTGTGATGTTTTATGTTGTGTGTGCTTTTATTTTGAAAGGTCAGTCAGTGTGCCGTTGTGATGTTTTATGTTGTGTGTGCTTTTATTTTGAAAGGTCAGTCAGTGTGCCGTTGTGATGTTTTATGTTGTGTGTGCTTTTATTTTGAAAGGTCAGTCTGTGCGCTGCTGTGATGTATATGTTGTGTGTGCTTTTATTTTGAAAGGTCAGTCAGTTTGTCGTTGTGATGTTTTATGTTGTGTGTGCTTTTATTTTGAAAGCTCAGTCTGTGTGACGCTGTGATGTATATGTTGTGTGTGCTTTTATTTTGAAAGGTCAGTCAGTGTGCCGTTGTGATGTTTTATGTTGTGTGTGCTTTTATTTTGAAAGGTCAGTCAGTGTGTCGTTGTGATGTTTTATGTTGTGTGTGCTTTTATTTTGAAAGGTCAGTCAGTGTGTCGTTGTGATGTTTTATGTTGTGTGTGCTTTTATTTTGAAAGGTCAGTCTGTGTGCCGTTGTGATGTTTTATGTAGTGTGTGCTTTTATTTTGAAAGGTCAGTCAGTGTGCCGTTGTGATGTTTTATGTAGTGTGTGCTTTTATTTTGAAAGGTCAGTCAGTGTGTCGTTGTGATGTTTTATGTTGTGTGTGCTTTTATTTTGAAAGGTCAGTCTGTGTGCCGTTGTGATGTTTTATGTAGTGTGTGCTTTTATTTTGAAAGGTCAGTCTGTGTGCCGTTGTGATGTTTTATGTAGTGTGTGCTTTTATTTTGAAAGGTCAGTCTGTGTGCCGTTGTGATGTTCACGTGATCAGTCCGGTAGTGGTTATTTCTACAGAGCCGCTTACTTAGAGATATAAAATATATGAAATCGGTGAATGTAATTTTATTTGTTTGACTGACTGAAGTATTTTACGTACAGTTTGATTTGACAGCGTGATTTTGTAATGCGTGTGCCATCATCCTGTCTGCTAATGGATGTTGAGGCGATATACGGATCAAATGATATGGACAGTTTTAACAGATTTGACTGAAAATAATCGACGATCTCATAGATTTAAATATGGTACGTTACACTGTGTTTCTTTACAATATCCTCTCTGATTCATGAGCATATCCGCTTAGCATTAGCATTAGCCGAGGCTGTCAGACATATAGAGTCTCAGCTGTACTGTATACACACACACACACACACACACACACACACACACATTCTCATGGCGAACATGACGGATCTGCAGAGCAAATACAGTAAACTGGCTCAGGAGTATTCAAAGGTGAGATCATCATCATCATCCTCCTCATCATGCTTTAATGATTCCAGTCTGTTCAGTAACACTCGCTCCTGTCATGTCTTAATGTTTACCTAACGTTACATATACAGTATCTGCATGTGTTTTAGTGAAGTCAAACTATACCGACACAAACTATTTCTTGATATGAAGTCATGCTGTTGCTGTGAGAGAGAGTGTGTGTGTATATATGTCTGTCTGTCTGTGTGTGTGAGAAAGTGTGTGTTTGTTCATGTGTGTGTGTTCATGTCTGTGAGAGAGTGTGTGTGTCTGTCTCTGATCAAAACCTCCATCCCACTGTGTGTGTGTGTGTGTTCCTCAGCTCAGAGCTCAGAACCAGGTGTTGAAGAAGGCGGTTCTGGATGAACAGACGGGCTGTAACTCGCTGAAGGTACTGACTGTGTTCCTCTCACTGGAGATCCGTGTGCAGGGCGGGTGTGTGTGCTCATGCCTGTGTGTGTGTGTGTGTCAGGATGAGCTGAAGCAGAAGGAGCAGAGCCTTCGGAAGGTGGAGCAGGAGATGGACAGTCTGAGCTTCAGGAACCAGCAGCTGACCAAGAGGGTGGAGCTTCTGCAGGAGGAGCTGCTGCTGTCCGAGAGCAAGAGCCGGAGAAGCAAAGTGACTATACACACCTGACCTCTGCATCCTCACACACTGACTGTACACCAGCTGACCTCTGACCTCTGCATCCTCACACACTGACTGTACACCAGCTGACCTCTGACCTCTGCATCCTCACACACTGACTGTACACCAGCTGACCTCTGACCTCTGCATCCTCACACACTGACTGTACACCAGCTGACCTCTGACCTCTGCATCCTCACATACTGACTGTAGACCACCTGACCTCTGACCTCTGCATCCTCACACACTGACTGTACACCCCCTGACCTCTGACCTCTGCATCCTCACGCACTGACTGTACACCAGCTGACCTCTGACCTCTGCATCCTCACACACTGACTGTAGACCACCTGACCTCTGACCTCTGCATCCTCACATACTGACTGTAGACCACCTGACCTCTGACCTCTCACCCACTGACTGTACACCACCTGACCTCTGCATCCTCACATACTGACTGTACACCAGCTGACCTCTGACCTCTGCATCCTCACACACTGACTGTACACCCCCTGACCTCTGACCTCTGCATCCTCACATACTGACTGTAGACCACCTGACCTCTGACCTCTGCATCCTCACACACTGACTGTACACCCCCTGACCTCTGACCTCTGCATCCTCACATACTGACTGTAGACCACCTGACCTCTGCATCCTCACACACTGACTGTTACACCACCTGACCTCTGCATCCTCACGCACTGACTGTACACCAGCTGACCTCTGACCTCTGCATCCTCACACACTGACTGTACACCCCCTGACCTCTGCATCCTCACATACTGACTGTACACCCCCTGACCTCTGACCTCTGCATCCTCACATACTGACTGTACACCACCTGACCTCTGCATCCTCACACACTGACTGTACACCCCCTGACCTCTGACCTCTGCATCCTCACATACTGACTGTAAACCACCTGACCTCTGCATCCTCACACACTGACTGTATACCCCCTGACCTCTGACCTCTGCATCCTCACATACTGACTGTACACCACCTGACCTCTGACCTCTGCATCCTCACACACTGACTGAACACCAGCTGACCTCTGACCTCTGCATCCTCACACACTGACTGTACACCAGCTGACCTCAGACCTCTGCATCCTCACACACTGACTGTACACCAGCTGACCTCTGACCTCTGCATCCTCACACACTGACTGTACACCCCCTGACCTCTGACCTCTGCATCCTCACATACTGACTGTAGACCACCTGACCTCTGACCTCTGCATCCTCACATACTGACTGTAGACCACCTGACCTCTGACCTCTCACCCACTGACTGTACACCACCTGACCTCTGCATCCTCACATACTGACTGTACACCAGCTGACCTCTGAATCCTCACACACTGACTGTACACCACCTGACCTCTGACCTCTGCATCCTCACGCACTGACTGTACACCACCTGACCTCTGACCTCTGCATCCTCACACACTGACTGTACACCAGCTGACCTCTGCATCCTCACACACTGACTGTACACCAGCTGACCTCTGACCTCTGCATCCTCACACACTGACTGTACACCAGCTGACCTCTGACATCTGCATCCTCACACACTGACTGTACACCCCCTGACCTCTGACCTCTGCATCCTCACACACTGACTGTACACCAGCTGACCTCTGACCTCTGCATCCTCACACACTGACTGTACACCAGCTGACCTCTGCATCCTCACACACTGACTGTACACCAGCTGACCTCTGAACTCTGCATCCTCACACACTGACTGTACACCAGCTGACCTCTGCATCCTCACACACTGACTGTACACCACCTGACCTCTGACCTCTTCATCCTCCCGCACTGACTGTACACCACCTGACCTCTGCATCCTCACACACTGACTGTACACCAGCTGACCTCTGACCTCTGCATCCTCACACACTGACTGTACACCAGCTGACCTCTGACCTCTGCATCCTCACACACTGACTGTACACCCCCTGACCTCTGCATCCTCACACACTGACTGTACACCAGCTGACCTCTGACCTCTGCATCCTCACACACTGACTGTACACCACCTGACCTCTGACCTCTCACCCACTGACTGTAGACCACCTGACCTCTGCATCCTCACTTACTGACTGTACACCAGCTGACCTCTGACCTCTGCATCCTCACACACTGACTGTACACCAGCTGACCTCTGACCTCTGCATCCTCACACACTGACTGTACACCCTCTGACCTCTGCATCCTCACACACTGACTGTACACCAGCTGACCTCTGACCTCTGCATCCTCACACACTGACTGTACACCCTCTGACCTCTGAATCCTCACACACTGACTGTAGACCACCTGACCTCTGACCTCTGCATCCTCACACACTGACTGTACACCAGCTGACCTCTGACCTCTGCATCCTCACACACTGACTGTACACCTCCTGACCTCTGACCTCTGCATCCTCACACACTGACTCTACACCAGCTGACCTCTGCATCCTCACACACTGACTGTACACCCCCTGACCTCTGACCTCTGCATCCTCACACACTGACTGTACACCCTCTGACCTCTGCATCCTCACACACTGACTGTACACCAGCTGACCTCTGACCTCTGCATCCTCACATACTGACTGTAGACCACCTGACCTCTGACCTCTGCATCCTCACACACTGACTGTACACCACCTGACCTCTGACCTCTGCATCCTCACATACTGACTGTACACCTCCTGACCTCTGCATCCTCACATACTGACTGTAGACCACCTGACCTCTGACCTCTCACTGTAGACCACCTGACCTCTGCATCCTCACATACTGACTGTACACCTCCTGACCTCTGACCTCTGCATCCTCACATACTGACTGTACACCACCTGACCTCTGACCTCTGCATCCTCACATACTGACTGTACACCACCTGACCTCTGACCTCTCACCCACTCAAACATCATACAGTGTGTTTATTAGCTGTTTTCCTGGCTGTTCCTCACAGTCTAGCTGATTTCATGAAACACTCTTAGAAAGAAAGGTTCAGTAGGGTTCTATATAGAACTCTAGGGTTCTCGACTCAGTTTTAAAGAACCTTAATGCCAAAAAGGTTTTATATAAGGAGAAATGTCTTAAATGTGTGTGTTTGTGCAGAACAAAGGAGACTCGCCGCCTCAAGTTAACCTGCAGGCACAGAATGTGTTTGATGAAGATCTGCGGAAGAAGATCCAGGAGAACGAAAGGCTTCACATCCAGGTGTGTGTGTGAGTGTGTGAGTGTGTGAGTGTGTGAGTGTGTGTGTGTGTGTGTGTGTGTGTGTGTGATAACACTATATATTTGTGTGTTTAGTTCTATGAAGCGGATGAGCAGTACCGTCGACAGGAAGCTCAGCTGCGAGCGCGACTGGATCAGCTGGAGAAAGAGTCTGAGCAGCATCAGACTGTAGTGGATGCTCTGACCAGCAGATACAGCGACACCATCGAGAAGCTGCAGAGCGACAAAGCTCGCCTCGAGGTTAGACACGATTATTAGGGACGGGCATGAGTACTCGAGGTCAGAGACACTAATATTGGTTACGAGGACGAGCATGAGTACTCCAGGTCAGAGACACGATTATTAGGGACGGGCATGAGTACTCGAGGTCAGAGACACGATTATTAGGGACGAGCATGAGTACTCGAGGTCAGAGACACTATTATTAGGGATGAGCATGAGTACTCGAGGTCAGAGACACGATTATTAGGGACAAGCATGAGTACTCGAGGTCAGAGACACGATTATTAGGGACGAGCATGAGTACTCGAGGTCAGAGACACGATTATTAGGGACGAGCATGAGTACTCGAGGTCAGAGACACTATTATTAGGGATGAGCATGAGTACTCGAGGTCAGAGACACTATTATTAGGGATGAGCATGAGTACTCGAGGTCAGAGACACGATTATTAGGGACGAGCATGAGTACTCGAGGTCAGAGACACGATTATTAGGGACGGGCATGAGTACTCGAGGTCAGAGACACGATTATTAGGGACGAGCATGAGTACTCGAGGTCAGAGACACGATTATTAGGGACGAGCATGAGTACTCGAGGTCAGAGACACTATTATTAGGGACGAGCATGAGTACTCGAGGTCAGAGACACGATTATTAGGGACGGGCATGAGTACTCCAGGTCAGAGACACGATTATTAGGGACGAGCATGAGTGCTCCAGGTCAGAGACACGATTATTAGGGACGGGCATGAGTACTCCAGGTCAGAGACACGATTATTAGGGACGAGCATGAGTACTTGAGGTCAGAGACACGATTATTAGGGACGGGCATGAGTACTCGAGGTCAGAGACACGATTATTAGGGACGGGCATGAGTACTCGAGGTCAGAGACACGATTATTAGGGACGAGCATGAGTACTCGAGGTCAGAGACACGATTATTAGGGACGGGCATGAGTACTCGAGGTCAGAGACACTATTATTAGGGACGGGCATGAGTACTCCAGGTCAGAGACACTATTATTAGGGACGAGCATGAGTACTCGAGGTCAGAGACACGATTATTAGGGACGAGCATGAGTACTCGAGGTCAGAGACACTATTATTAGGGACGGGCATGAGTACTCGAGGTCAGAGACACGATTATTAGGGACGGGCATGAGTACTCCAGGTCAGAGACACTATTATTAGGGACGAGCATGAGTACTCGAGGTCAGAGACACTATTATTAGGGACGAGCATGAGTACTCCAGGTCAGAGACACGATTATTAGGGACGGGCATGAGTACTCCAGGTCAGAGACACGATTATTAGGGACGGGCATGAGTACTCGAGGTCAGAGACACGATTATTAGGGACGAGCATGAGTACTCGAGGTCAGAGACACTATTATTAGGGACGAGCATGAGTACTCGAGGTCAGAGACACTATTATTAGGGACGAGCATGAGTACTCCAGGTCAGAGACACGATTATTAGGGACGGGCATGAGTACTCGAGGTCAGAGACACGATTATTAGGGACGAGCATGAGTACTCGAGGTCAGAGACACTATTATTAGGGACGAGCATGAGTACTCGAGGTCAGAGACACGATTATTAGGGACGGGCATGAGTACTCCAGGTCAGAGACACGATTATTAGGGACGGGCATGAGTGCTCCAGGTCAGAGACACGATTATTAGGGACAAGCATGAGTACTCGAGGTCAGAGACACGATTATTAGGGACGAGCATGAGTACTCGAGGTCAGAGACACGATTATTAGGGACAAGCATGAGTACTCGAGGTCAGAGACACGATTATTAGGGACGAGCATGAGTACTCGAGGTCAGAGACACGATTATTAGGGACGAGCATGAGTACTCGAGGTCAGAGACACTATTATTAGGGATGAGCATGAGTACTCGAGGTCAGAGACACTATTATTAGGGACGAGCATGAGTACTCGAGGTCAGAGACACGATTATTAGGGACGAGCATGAGTACTCGAGGTCAGAGACACGATTATTAGGGACGGGCATGAGTACTCGAGGTCAGAGACACGATTATTAGGGACGAGCATGAGTACTCGAGGTCAGAGACACGATTATTAGGGACGAGCATGAGTACTCGAGGTCAGAGACACTATTATTAGGGACGAGCATGAGTACTCGAGGTCAGAGACACGATTATTAGGGACGGGCATGAGTACTCCAGGTCAGAGACACGATTATTAGGGACGAGCATGAGTGCTCCAGGTCAGAGACACGATTATTAGGGACGGGCATGAGTACTCCAGGTCAGAGACACGATTATTAGGGACGAGCATGAGTACTTGAGGTCAGAGACACGATTATTAGGGACGGGCATGAGTACTCGAGGTCAGAGACACGATTATTAGGGACGGGCATGAGTACTCCAGGTCAGAGACACTATTATTAGGGACGGGCATGAGTACTCGAGGTCAGAGACACGATTATTAGGGACGAGCATGAGTACTCGAGGTCAGAGACACGATTATTAGGGACGAGCATGAGTACTCGAGGTCAGAGACACGATTATTAGGGACGGGCATGAGTACTCCAGGTCAGAGACACTATTATTAGGGACGAGCATGAGTACTCGAGGTCAGAGACACTATTATTAGGGACGAGCATGAGTACTCGAGGTCAGAGACACGATTATTAGGGACGGGCATGAGTACTCCAGGTCAGAGACACGATTATTAGGGACGGGCATGAGTACTCGAGGTCAGAGACACGATTATTAGGGACGAGCATGAGTACTCGAGGTCAGAGACACGATTATTAGGGACGAGCATGAGTACTCCAGGTCAGAGACACGATTATTAGGGACGAGCATGAGTACTCGAGGTCAGAGACACGATTATTAGGGACGAGCATGAGTACTCGAGGTCAGAGACACGATTATTAGGGACGGGCATGAGTACTCGAGGTCAGAGACACTATTATTAGGGACGGGCATGAGTACTCCAGGTCAGAGACACTATTATTAGGGACGGGCATGAGTACTCGAGGTCAGAGACACGATTATTAGGGACGAGCATGAGTACTCGAGGTCAGAGACACGATTATTAGGGACGAGCATGAGTACTCGAGGTCAGAGACACGATTATTAGGGACGGGCATGAGTACTCCAGGTCAGAGACACTATTATTAGGGACGAGCATGAGTACTCGAGGTCAGAGACACTATTATTAGGGACGAGCATGAGTACTCGAGGTCAGAGACACGATTATTAGGGACGGGCATGAGTACTCCAGGTCAGAGACACGATTATTAGGGACGGGCATGAGTACTCGAGGTCAGAGACACGATTATTAGGGACGAGCATGAGTACTCGAGGTCAGAGACACTATTATTAGGGACGAGCATGAGTACTCGAGGTCAGAGACACTATTATTAGGGACGAGCATGAGTACTCGAGGTCAGAGACACGATTATTAGGGACGGGCATGAGTACTCCAGGTCAGAGACACGATTATTAGGGACGAGCATGAGTACTCGAGGTCAGAGACACGATTATTAGGGACGGGCATGAGTACTCCAGGTCAGAGACACGATTATTAGGGACGAGCATGAGTACTCCAGGTCAGAGACACGATTATTAGGGACGAGCATGAGTACTCGAGGTCAGAGACACGATTATTAGGGACGGGCATGAGTACTCCAGGTCAGAGACACGATTATTAGGGACGGGCATGAGTGCTCCAGGTCAGAGACACGATTATTAGGGACAAGCATGAGTACTCGAGGTCAGAGACACGATTATTAGGGACAAGCATGAGTACTCGAGGTCAGAGACACGATTATTAGGGATGAGCATGAGTACTCGAGGTCAGAGACACTATTATTAGGGACGGGCATGAGTACTCGAGGTCAGAGACACGATTATTAGGGACGAGCATGAGTACTCGAGGTCAGAGACACGATTATTAGGGACGAGCATGAGTACTCGAGGTCAGAGACACGATTATTAGGGACAAGCATGAGTACTCAAGGTCATGACAACACATTCACTACTTCACTGCTTCACACTTATGGATGTCAATGACACAACATGTTTAGAAAGGTTGTTTCTCACTGTGTCGCTCACTGGGTTGTGTAACGGCGCTCAATGAAGCACATGACATGTTTATAAGATGTCTGATGATACTTGAGTGCTGAACATGCACATCCCTACTGCTCTTCATGTGTGATGATGCTGGTGTGTATGAGGAGATGCTGATGTGTGTGTGTACGAGGAGATGCTGATGTGTGTGTGTGTGTGTGTGTGTGTGTACGAGGAGATGCTTGTCTAATAATGATGTCGTGTCAGGTGACTGCTCAGACCCTGGAAAGAGAAGCCAAGGACTGTCGGGTCAGAACTGAAGAGTGGTAAATATGCACATTCGATCGGATCGCAGTAATGTTATCTGTGATCCTTCAGTACGCCTGTTTCACACTGACTGTGATTCTGATGTCTATTATAATCGATTTAGACGTCACATTTCCAAATGCACATTCAACCACACTTAGGGCTGGGCGATATGGCCCAAAAAAATTATCACGATATTTTTTTTATATCAGTCGATATCGATAATTATCACGATAAATGTCAAATCTTTATTTCTTTCAAGTTTAAAGGCAGATTTTTGCTCCTAAGTGAAAGTTGTATAAACCAGAGCGTTAATTGTGGTTTTAACTTTTTATTGTCAGAACATATCATGACAAACACTTGCCAAACAGGTGAACATTTCACAAATCTGAGGTAGAACATTCAAACATTTGTCATTTTTCCTTAACAAAATTAATATCTGAATAGAAAAAATATTTCTTCAGCACAGTTTGCAGTGCAGCCTGCAATATTCAAATTACATGTTTTGTCTCGAAATGCATATTTGACAGTGAGTTGACAGTAAATCTGCATCCTAACTCAAGCTAATACTACTCTGTTAAATTTATGTTCATTAACAAAAACAGTAACATCTGTTTAAAAAAAATGTAACGACCACATTTTTATTTGGTAAAATGTAATATTCTGACTGTTTGAGTTTTATTAAAATTAACCATTGGTCATCCAGTATCATGCATTTAGATCATGATAACCACAGATGAAACCAGGCATAGCCTAACTTATAGCACCTCACTATCATGGCAAAATGTAACTTTATGGTTTCTTTGGTACTTGTATGAAAAACAGTAGCCTAACAGTTAAATACATTATTAAATACTGTAATTATATTCCATTAGTCATTTAATACATTGTCTACATTAATAATATTATACAATTCAATATGTATATCCCACATTTCATAGTGCAGTTAAGGCTAACCTTACAGTAAAATCCATGGTAGGCTAAATGGATTCAGTATCAATTCAGATTCTGACTGTATCGTTGCGTACAGTGTTTCTCCTGTTTGTCAGCGCCGTTTCATCTGCCTTTAAACATTTGTGTTCTTCGCTGAACTCAAGCGCTTCTCACTGGATCTCGTGAGCGAGACGATCAGAGTAAACCGTCTGCTCTAGTCTAGTGAGCTCGCGCGCGCTGCCGTTTGGACTTTGAGCCGAGCGGATAAACAATCCGTGAGGCGCGCGGTTCAAATGATTTTCGTTCCGCTTTTGGCGCATAAACATTATCGAACATTTATCGACCTCTTGATATCGTTTTATCGAGAAAAATTATATCGCGATAATTATCGTTATCGTTTTATCGCCCAGCCCTAACCACACTGAACAAATCCAAACCTAGAAGTCAGCATAACAAGTGCAGTATTGTGTGGATAAAGTGTTTTATAGTGTTTAGTGTGGCAGAGACGGATGTTTATATGAGCGTGTCAGTGACTACTCACCCGACACACAGACAGTGTGACACAGACGAATGCAAACTGCTTTATCATTGACTTTGATTTCATCTATTGGAAGGTGTTGATAGTCGATGTATTTAGTGTGTGTGTGTGTGTGTCAGTCAGCAGCAGCTGAGGAAGTATCAGAGTGAAGTGAGCAGTCAGTTAAAGCACAGCAGCAGTTTGATCCTGGAGAAAGTGCCCTTTAATGACACCCGTGAGTAACACACACACACACTCACAAACACACACACACACACACACACGTCATGTAGACTCAAAGTTTTCCTTTATGTGTGTAATGAGTGAATCTTGTGTTTTCCTCAGAGTCGAGTGACTACAACAGTCTGAACGTTCCTCTGCACAACAGACGGCATCAGGTGAGTGTGTGTAGTGTCATCAGGTGTCAGGTGACTGATAGAGCAGCGCTGACTTCCTGTTCCTGTGTGCAGCTGAAGGCTCGTGATGTGGCGGCTCAGGCTCTGGGCTTCCTGCAGAATCTGGTGTCGGCTCTGCTGAACTTCCACTCCTACACCGAGCAGAGAGTGCACATCTACCCACTCGACTCGTCCATCGAGGCCGTCTCCCCCGTCAACCAGAGGGTACGAACACACACACACACACCGCCTCCGTTAATACACACGTCAACCAGAGGGTACGAACACACACACACACACACACACACACACACACACACCGCCTCCGTTAATAGACACGTCAACCAGAGGGTACGAACACACACACACACACACACACACACACACACACACCGCCTCCGTTAATACACACGTCAACCAGAGGGTAAGAACACACACACACACACACCGCCTCCGTTAATACACACGTCAACCAGAGGGTACGAACACACACACACACACACCGCCTCCGTTAATACACACGTCAACCAGAGGGTAAGAACACACACACACACACACCGCCTCCGTTAATACACACGTCAACCAGAGGGTACGAACACACACACACACACACCACCTCCGTTAATACACACGTCAACCAGAGGGTACGAACACACACACACACACACCACCTCCGTTAATACACACGTCAACCAGAGGGTAAGAACACACACACACACACACCGCCTCCGTTAATACACACGTCAACCAGAGGGTAAGAACACACACACACACACACCGCCTCCGTTAATACACACGTCAACCAGAGGGTAAGAACACACACACACACACACCGCCTCCGTTAATACACACGTCAACCAGAGGGTACGAACACACACACACACCGCCTCCGTTAATACACACGTCAACCAGAGGGTACGAACACACACACACACCGCCTCCGTTAATACACACGTCAACCAGAGGGTACGAACACACACACACACACACCGCCTCCGTTAATACACACGTCAACCAGAGGGTACGAACACACACACACACACACCGCCTCCGTTAATACACACGTCAACCAGAGGGTAAGAACACACACACACACACACCGCCTCCGTTAATACACACGTCAACCAGAGGGTACGAACACACACACACACACACCGCCTCCGTTAATACACACGTCAACCAGAGGGTAAGAACACACACACACACACACCGCCTCCGTTAATACACACGTCAACCAGAGGGTACGAACACACACACACACACACCACCTCCGTTAATACACACGTCAACCAGAGGGTACGAACACACACACACACACACCACCTCCGTTAATACACACGTCAACCAGAGGGTAAGAACACACACACACACACACCGCCTCCGTTAATACACACGTCAACCAGAGGGTAAGAACACACACACACACACACCGCCTCCGTTAATACACACGTCAACCAGAGGGTAAGAACACACACACACACACACCGCCTCCGTTAATACACACGTCAACCAGAGGGTACGAACACACACACACACCGCCTCCGTTAATACACACGTCAACCAGAGGGTACGAACACACACACACACCGCCTCCGTTAATACACACGTCAACCAGAGGGTACGAACACACACACACACACACCGCCTCCGTTAATACACACGTCAACCAGAGGGTACGAACACACACACACACACACCGCCTCCGTTAATACACACGTCAACCAGAGGGTAAGAACACACACACACACACACCGCCTCCGTTAATACACACGTCAACCAGAGGGTACGAACACACACACACACACACCACCTCCGTTAATACACACGTCAACCAGAGGGTAAGAACACACACACACACACACCGCCTCCGTTAATACACACGTCAACCAGAGGGTAAGAACACACACACACACACACCGCCTCCGTTAATACACACGTCAACCAGAGGGTAAGAACACACACACACACACACCGCCTCCGTTAATACACACGTCAACCAGAGGGTACGAACACACACACACACCGCCTCCGTTAATACACACGTCAACCAGAGGGTACGAACACACACACACACCGCCTCCGTTAATACACACGTCAACCAGAGGGTACGAACACACACACACACACCGCCTCCGTTAATACACACGTCAACCACAGGGTAAGAACACACACACACACACACCGCCTCCGTTAATACACACGTCAACCAGAGGGTAAGAACTAGGGATGCACCGAATCCAGATTTGTGGGGTTCGGCCGAATACCGAATCCACTGGTTAAGATTCTGCCGAATCCGAAACCGAATACCGAATCCTACTCTCATCCTCAGTCCATTAACACAGTAAACACATTAATGAAGTAAACAAAGTGGATTTTTCATTTTATTTTATTACTGTAAATAATAAACACTACTTTTACTTTTATAACTGTAAAAAAATAAAAATAATAAGCAACATTATGCATTTGAACAGCGGCGATATTGTTTAGCCTATTTAGAGTCCTTGCCACCATGAGACAAATCAGCATTGCAAATTGAACATGTAGCTCGACTTGAATTGCCTTCTTTCACTGAAAGTACTGCCAAACAACACTTTTTCTGCTCACGAGTTCCATTTTCACTTTCTCACAGCCGACTGCATTCGAACGGTCCACCTACTGTAGCGAGTGGAAATAAGGTGTGGCCCCTTTAAGAACTGCGCGCTCCTGTTGAACTGTCTGCAGTCTGTATTGTATGTGCCGTGCGCCTCGAACACATGATATGCCCATGTCTGCGGGTTATTCCTGTTTGATGCTCATTTTTTACCTTATTTTGTTAAGTAGCGCTGTGGACGGTAGAACGTGTGACAGACAGTTACACAAGTTCGATTGTGTAATAAAGTGCGAGTTGTGAGATGCCGATCGCCTCCGTGAGTCTGTCTGGCCTCTGCAATAACTTCAGCTGTGAGCTATCCCTATTTCTCTTCCTGACACAACGCGTTACACTACAGACTTGTTCGCCTTGAACCGGCGCTGCACACACAGATCAGTTTATGACATCAAAGTCCCGCGAGAGCAATTCTAAAGCATGGAGCCGTCTGCTCTCCATCCGTTCACGCGGTACTCTGATGTCATTCACAGATCGGTGACTTCGACGTAGCGCGCGTAGTGCAAGCCTAGGGTTCGGTTCGGTGGAAAAAAATTCTGAGGTTCGGCAGAAACCGAACCCCGTTAAAAAGCCCAATATTCGGCCGAATCCGAATCCTGGATTCGGTGCATCCCTAGTAAGAACACACACACACACCTGCTCCGTTAATACACACATCAACCAGAGGGTACGAACACACACACACACACACACACACACACACACACACACACACACACCTGCTCCGTTAATACACACATCAACCAGAGGGTACGAACACACACACACACACACACACACACACACACCTGCTCCGTTAATACACACATCAACCAGAGGGTACGAACACACACACACACACACACACACACACACACACACACACACACCTGCTCCGTTAATACACACATCAACCAGAGGGTACGAACACACACACACACACACACACACACACACACACACACACACACCTGCTCCGTTAATACACACATCAACCAGAGGGTACGAACACACACACACACACACACACACACACACACCTGCTCCGTTAATACACACATCAACCAGAGGGTACGAACACACACACACACACACACACACACACACACACACACACACACACACACACACACACACACCTGCTCCGTTAATACACACATCAACCAGAGGGTACGAACACACACACACACACCGCCTCCGTTAATACACACATCAACCAGAGGGTACGAACACACACACACACACACACACACACACACACACACACACACACACCTGCTCCGTTAATACACACATCAACCAGAGGGTACGAACACACACACACACACACACACACACACACACACACACACACACACACCTGCTCCGTTAATACACACATCAACCAGAGGGTACGAACACACACACACACACACACACACACACACACCTGCTCCGTTAATACACACATCAACCAGAGGGTACGAACACACACACACACACACACACACACACACACACACCTGCTCCGTTAATACACACATCAACCAGAGGGTACGAACACACACACACACACACACACACACACACACACACACACACACACACCTGCTCCGTTAATACACACATCAACCAGAGGGTACGAACACACACACACACACACACACACACACACACCTGCTCCGTTAATACACACATCAACCAGAGGGTACGAACACACACACACACACACACACACACACACACACACACACACACCTGCTCCGTTAATACACACATCAACCAGAGGGTACGAACACACACACACACACCGCCTCCGTTAATACACACATCAACCAGAGGGTACGAACACACACACACACACACACACACACACACACACACACACACACCTGCTCCGTTAATACACACATCAACCAGAGGGTACGAACACACACACACACACACACACACACACACACACACACACACACACACACACCTGCTCCGTTAATACACACATCAACCAGAGGGTACGAACACACACACACACACACACACACACACACACACACACCTGCTCCGTTAATACACACATCAACCAGAGGGTACGAACACACACACACACACACACACACACACACACACACACACACACACACACACACACACACACACACACACACCTGCTCCGTTAATACACACATCAACCAGAGGGTACGAACACACACACACACACCGCCTCCGTTAATACACACATCAACCAGAGGGTACGAACACACACACACACACACACACACACACACACACACACACACACACACCTGCTCCGTTAATACACACATCAACCAGAGGGTACGAACACACACACACACACACACACACACACCTGCTCCGTTAATACACACATCAACCAGAGGGTACGAACACACACACACACACACACACACACACACACACACACACCTGCTCCGTTAATACACACATCAACCAGAGGGTACGAACACACACACACACACACACACACACACACACACACACACCTGCTCCGTTAATACACACATCAACCAGAGGGTACGAACACACACACACACACACACACACACACACACCTGCTCCGTTAATACACACATCAACCAGAGGG